CGATATCTTTGGGACCGAATACACCATGGCCAAATCGAGCTGAAGCAGCAGTTCGACTCCTGAAGGCACAACTCAAGATCATGCTGAGTTCCATCAAGGCAGGCACTGCGCCTGCAACACTGAAGAAAGTGACCTATAGGCAACTGGTGAAGGCCGCTGCAACTGTCAGGAATCAGACCGTCACTTATGGGGGAGTAACACCATTGGAGCTCGCATTCGGAAGACGACCAGCAGATCTCATCCAACTCGATGTCGCAACTCCAACTCAGTTGACGATTGACAGGAATGAGGAAGAGATGACAGCCATCCAGATCAAGCAGCTGTCAAAGCAAGCTTTCCAAGAAGCACGTCAATCCGAGGACATCCGACGAGACCTTGCTCAAAATCTCCAAATGAGTTCAAAGCCTCTTCAGGTGAAGGACAAGGTATTTTACTGGCAGGAAGACAAATCCAAGATTCGTTCCGATGGAAGCAAGGGAGGAATATGGCTAAAGGAAAGGTCATTTCCATTGAAGGAGCGATGGTAGGACTTGATCTTGGGACTCGACTCATCAAGGTTAACATGACGAAGCTCAGGAAGGATGAGACCATCCCTCCGGGGAAACCCGGAATTGACCTTCTGTTACCTGAAGAGCGAGAATCCTTGCAGAAGGAGCAACCAGGCTCCTCTGTAGATACCAAGAAAAAGGAATCATCCGCACCAGCTCCTAAGCCAAGATCCTCAGTGCCATTACGTATCGCGGGAAAAACAACTCCAAAACCTGCAGTACCTCATCCAGCAGAGAACATGTTCGTCGAGGACCTCACATCCATTCCTGAACAAGCACATTGGAATTGTGTACGTAAGGGAAAGATCCACGTTCTCCAGGAAGTGCCAGATTCAGTCAATGCTGTGCACTGTCAGGTCTTAAGGTTGGGACTCCCGTGGACATCCGCACAGGATTCGATGTAATGACATCCAAGGGACGACACATGGTCATGGAGATCATCAGGGAACAAGCACCTGATGTCATCCTTATGGCGCCGGTCTGTGGACCATGGTCAAATATGCAGAACATCCAGCAAGACCAGCAAAAGGTGGCGCTACCTTCCCATGGTTGAATTTGTGGCATCCATTGCGCGTTATCAGTTGAAGCACAGAAGATACTTCATTATCGAAAATCCTCAGACATCCAGGATATGGTATCTGAAATGCATGCAACACTTGTTTTCAGACCCATCCGTGACCTGGGGAGATTTCCATTTCTGTGCATACGGACTAAAAGATCCTGAATCCGGGCTCAGAAGTCTCAAGCCCACGAGCTTGATGCACTGTTTACCTTCCGAGGTTATGAGACCGATCTTCAGAAGGTGTAAAAATTTTCCAGCTCAGTCAAGCATGAACACCAACCCCTAGAGGGAAACGCTGGTACCTTCGGAAGCAGAACCAAACTGGCACAGGTGTATCCTTACCAGTTCTGTCAGGATCTTGCGCACATCATCTTACGACACTTGCAGGTGAAACCGCTTGACAACGAGGTGTACCTCTTGGAGGACCTTTTTGAACCATTCACCATCAAGCAGGTTGATATCCTGAGAAAGGAGATGGAAGCCATTGACAAGGAGTTCAACATGACCAGCAGCAGTCTTGCAGTCAGAATCCAAGACCTGCCGTTCAACAAGGACGTTCAACCATTAGTCATTCAAGATCCGCTAGTTCAGAAATTCCAGAAGACGATGAAGCAGTACCCACCTGGGACTGAAATTGATATCTTCAAGCAAGACCCTAATGACTGGCGATGTCAGAACATGTGGAACGGCTGCAAGAAGCTGAGACAACTGTGCATCTCATCCACTCAGTATGATGCATGCGCTGCATACGTCCACACCATTGGCATCAATATGCCTATTACGTCACCCCCGGACGATGCAATCATATCCTTCTGGCAGCCTGATCAGCTGAATAGTGGGTCTTGCCTGCATCAAAATGTAATTGGGAGAAGTATGATCCGAAGACGTGGCACGCTGTGATGTTTTCATCCGTTCATGAGTCGTTCACCGATGCGCCGGCCATCAAGCCGATGCCCATCGAGACGGATCCATTGGATCCCACGGATGCACCTCAGCAACCTGATCAACCGGACCATCCCATGCCTGATCCAAGACCTCCAACACCTCCGGACGAGAGCATCCGGATCCTCCACATCAGCCTGATCATCCCATGCCACCAGCACCACGCAGTGTGTTGCCAGACAGTCCAGTGGATCCTCCACTACCGCCGCACGACAAGCCTGGCGGAGGAGATGCAGCGCTTAAACGGCAAAAACAGTCCATTTCATCCTCAAGTGGACTCAATTGACTGGGGGGTGATGCCAATTCTTCCGACTGTCGTGGTACCTTCACCACCTGCGATTCTTACAAATCCCGAAGCAGAGGAACAAGATGAAGATCTTGAACTGCCGACACTTGTGCAAGAAGAAACAACCGGCAGTCCGTCAAAGAAGCAGAAGACTGGGAAGAAGAAGAAGAAGAAGCCAGATGAAAATGATGAGTCACCTGGGCATTCTCCCAGACATGATCCTGCATCTTCATCCAAATACAATCCGAACAATCCAGCAAACTTGCCGGTACAATATAACAGTGAGGAAGAACTGATCCCTCATGTTCCAACCTCATCCGGCACTGGAAGCTCAGAAAGAACCATGAGATACACTGACCAGGAAGATGGAGAATCAGAAGACTCTCAGAGGACCAGATCTTACGAAGATCACCAAGCTGATCTCGTTCTTGATGAAGCACATTGGTCACTCATGAACAGAAGATCTGTGCGAACACCGGATCCTTTACGGTTCCGAGAGATATCGAAGGCAACCCTGTCCTTCTTGGACGTGTGAAAGGGACCTTCAGCCCATCGCCACGATGCGGATTCTCTCATCAGAAATACACGGATCAAAATCATGTTGACCAGCTATGCAAGAACATGACCGACGATGACCGTGCACTCCTAGTTCTGTATTCATCCAAGCAAGAATCCTTGAAGGCTTCATCCACATCCGCACTCATTGGCAAGAAGCGGAAGGAAGCTACAGCCACGGAAATCAGAGCTTATCAGAAGCAATTCCTTGAAGCTAAGCAGCTTGAGTGCAAATCATGGCTTGACAATGAAGTGTTCGACTTAGTCGATACACGCGAGATTCAGGTCAGGAACTGGGTCACCTGTCGATGGGTCCTAACCCTGAAGCGAGACAAGGATGGTAACTTCTTGAAGACCAAGGCTTGCTGGGTCCTCTGAGGCTTCCAAGACAAGCAGAAGAATGATCAGCAGACAGACAGTCCTGCTGCATCCAGAAGTGGTTTCCGCCTTGCAATCCAAGCAGCCTCAAACTAGACCACGGTTGGCCCGAAAGCATAACATCGCAAGCGAGGTCGGCCAAACGCTGCAGGATACCTTTTTTTCCGTACTCCATCTGAAGGCACATCTTCCGGCACACACTGCAAGACCTTGGCAAGCTCGAATGCAATCAAGCTCCAAAATCCTGACCATGGCTGCTGCGTTTGGCGGGAGCCAACATCCACTCAGCGAGCTGCTGAGTCCGAAATACCAAATGCTTGAAGCAAAATCCTTCCCATCCGGAAAAGTTAGCACTGTTCATTGAGTGAAACAAAAGCACGCGTCAGCCCGCGCGACGTGATCTTGTTGCGGAAGGCGGAGGCCACGGCAGCAATCCAGGCTGATGCCGTCGATGGCTGGATCGCCAGCGCGCCGCCCGGCTGCAAGCGCGAGTCCAAGGAGGGAAGAAGCAGGAGCTGGGGCTGATGATGTCATGTTGTCAAGCTGCCATCAACGCAAGCATGTTCCAATTAGGGGAAAATGGCTGAAGCCGCTGCAAACATGAGTACGAATGGAAAAAAGTACTGGACAGCCCGCAGTGGTTTTTCAGCCACGCGCCAGGACGCAGCCATTGGACCAAGCGTGTCATGGTCGTGATGGTCACTTGCGAGGAGTGAGCCAGGGCGCGGCCCGCGGCAGGCGCACCTGCAACACAATGCGCAGAGGCCAAGTGCTGCACGCGAGGCATGCTGCTACAGTGGCGCAGGCTGCGACGCACGACCCTTTTTTTCCGCTCACTCGGTTGATCGCTTTCAAAAAGTATGACCGTCTGCATGATTAAAAGCTTCGCAAAAGCCAGCAAAACCCAGCGTGCATCGGAGTTCCGCACGACAGCGTCTGTCCGAGCAGCGCCGGTGCGTTGCAAGCCTTAGCTGCCATCACTCCAGGAAGAGCACGTCACTTTTGACGGCGTGCTTGCAACCAACATCTCAGCCGTGCGCTTTTTTGAGGCCAGCTCTGGCTTCATTCCTAGCAGGTGGCACACCGCGTCTCTTTCCGCGACCACAGAGCGAACAACATCGTCATTTGCCCTGGCCATCCGCTCGACATGGCAAGTCATGAGGTCTGTGTCGCAATCTTGGATCGGCTTTCCCACAAGCAAGCGCGGGGCGCCATCAGCCATGTTGAAGAGATGGCAGTTCTTGAAGTGGCAAAATGCCTCCACGGCAAACGGCTTGGCGCCGTCAATCTCCGGAAATGGCACCACAATAAACCCCCCCTCCCTTACCCCCCCCCCTTGAGACATGCTATAGCACTGCTATTGGAGTGTTATAACACTGTTAAAGCATTTGGCTCCCAAAGGGTTCCCCACTGACTGGCGGCGCGACAAGCCCTGGAAAATGACACCCTCGTCCCCCTCGCACCCCTTCCTTCCCCGTCCCCTGCCCTTCCCGTCCGCTCCCCCGAAGCTTCCGGAAGCTTCGGGAAAAAGGGGGGGCGAGGGGGGACCACCCTTGTTTCAATCTCCCCCCCCTTTTTCACGAAGCTTCCCTAAGGCTTCCGGAAGCTTCCGCAAGGCTTCCGGAAGCTTCCCCAAGGCTTTCGGGAAGCTTCCCACCTATTTGGCCCAAAGCAGGGGGGGGGTAAAGGGGGGGGGGGTTGCGGCTTCTTAATGATGGTGGGATGTCACCAAATGCTTGTCCCCGTTGATGTCAACCTCTCTGATGTCCGGGTCATCCTTCGCGACCGCCAGCATGGAGATGTGGGAGGCAAAGACGTTGCCGCGAGGAAAGAAGATGCCCAAGTCAGAGCAAGAGAGATCTCGATATGGATCTGCCACTGGCAACACAGCGCCTTCCGCGCGCTGGTTTTCCAAGCGGATCACCTTCTTGACCATAGACCGGTCCGAGTTGTCGTAGAGTTTGCCAAGGAAGCGCCACTGGTCTGAGACGCATCCACTTGCGTGGTTTCCGCAGGTCGTCGCGCCGAACGACCTTGAGTCATGTTCGGAGCTGTTGCTAGTCGAACATCAAAAGGCCCCTTGAAGCAGAGCGCCTGCGTGCCCTTCTCCGCAATCAGCTCCGCAAGTTTGGCTTCGTCGTCCACGCTGGCGAGCGCCGCCAACTGCTCGCCGCGAATGAGCACGTTCTCCGCCGCGCCACTCCAGTCAGCAATGTGCGCTGTGGCCAGCACTTTCAAGGCAAGGTCCGGCTGGCTGGGGCAAGAGCTCGTGTCTGCTCGCTTGCACTTGCCCGTGTCCGGGTTGACTTTCGTGCCGCACACTTGGCATGGCCTGTACACAGGATCTCCCACAACGCCTACCAGCCAAGCCGCTTGCACGGGCAGCGTCTCGGGCTCCGCCGACTCAACGGTCTCCAGCGGCATGGCGCGCAAGTCTGGACGAAGCAAGCGCGCCGTGTCCATGGCTACTTGGCGGCAGCGCTGGATGGCGTAAGGCGCGAAGCGGAAAAACATATTGTAGCCGCTATAGCTAACAAGCTGCTCTTGCTGATACAGGAGCTGGTACGCCATCTCGCCGTTGGACTTGGCCACGCATCTTTGCATGCCAAATGCAAGCCTACGGAGCAAGCTCAAAGCGCGAGCTTGTGTCTGTTCCCGCGAGGGCCGCGGCCGACTTTCCTTTTCTTCAAGGCCTTGCTCTGCAGAGCTAGCCGCTTGCCGAGCTTGCTCCTCCTCCTCCAGCCGCTGCACGCCTGCGTAAAGCTCGGGCAAAAGAGAGCGAGACACTTCGAACTTCTTGGCTGCGTATTCGCCGGTGTAGAACTGCGCATCCTGCATGTCCCGGAACATGTCAACGACAAGTCTGCGCAGCATTGCGTCGAGTCGAGCATCTCGAGAGGAGCCTTCGCCTGCAGCAGGGTCGTCATCCGCCATGAGCATCGCCAGGTCCTCACTGGAGAAAGCCCTGCCAAGGTACTTGACGTCCACGTTGCAGCGCATGCTTACCTGTGCCACCGGGTTCGACATTCCCTCAAAGATGGTCCCGCTCCGGCAAAAACACATGCGGGTTCTGGTTCTTGGCTGCTTCTGCTCTTGGAGCGGTGGCTCCGGCCGAGGCAAGGCCATGAAGCGAGCTCTCGGCACCCGCGGCCAGCCTTTGCAACACCGCACCCGCGTCTTCTCTTGCCCTCTGTCGTCCTCTTCCACCGCTAGCTCCAAGCGGAAGAAACCAAACCGGCAGCCGCGGCGGCCATTCTGGCTTTTCCTCTGTTGTGGTCGTGATGTGTTTTCCTGGGGCGCCAGGCAACGATCGTCCGCACGACAGCGTCAGAAGCGTCACTGGCCTCTTCAAAAAAGACAAAGAATTACGAAAATTGTGAGAACATATGGTCCGAGCAACTTCTTGAAGCAAGACTTCGTGCATTTGTGGAAGTGGTTTTGTGTGACCAGCCGTCTGTAGTCATGACACAAGGCCTGCGCCCACGCCGAGCAAGCCATCAGTTCGTCTCGGTTACGACGAACATAATGTGGGCGAACAGATGCAAAGCAGCCAGTGAGTCGCAATGTGCCAGCCTCCGCGGAGGTGGCTGCCAACACCTCGTGTCCATCTGGCTCCACTGGCGCCAGAGACGTCTCGCCGGAATGCATCCCAGCCTGCACTCTTTGGCGTTCGCTCAGTGGCAAAGGCTCCGCTTCCACACCCAGCTGCTGCCGCAGGACGTTCTGGCTGTCGTAGCGGATGCGAGAGGCCGCTTCCAGCACTAGGACACGCCAGCGCTCCAGCTCCACGACAACCTGACACGAGTCTGCGTGCAAGCCTTAAAAGACGTGGCCACAAACGCGCGAACATAAGCAACAGAAGACATGACCTCCTCAGCTGTGTATATAACCGACGGTAGATGTTCCTGGCCTCGCTGCGAGCAGCGCTCTGCGGAGGCGCTGCGACAGATCGTGCCCCACCAACACACAAAGAATGTGCGGGTGTAGCGACCCTCTGCCTTGCGTTTCCAGAGGCCCGCAAAAGGCAGCCACGTCGCCAAAGCAGCCCGGGAAGGTCGATGCGGCGTAGCCATCCTCGAAGTTCCTGGCCAGGCCAACATGGTAGCTGGCCCTGGTCATGGGCGGCAATGTGCCCAGGATCTCTTCGAAGAAGAGAAGCATCATCTCGTGGAAGAAGCGGGGTCGGCTGCCAGGGCACGCCGCATTGCTGGCAAGGAAGGCAATGACGGCTCCTCCAAGTCCCAGTTGAGGTTGACCTGGAACTCCTCCACTTGGCCTTGAACGTCCTGCAAGTGCAGCTGCAGAAACATAGGGGCACGAGAGTCGGCCAAATTGGGAGTCACAAAGAGGTGCGTGGTGCCGTAATGCCAGCCAGCTGCGTGGCCGCGTAATCGAATTTGACTACGACGCCCTTCTGTTCCGAGTATGTTGGCACTGGCAGCTAGCACACTAGCCAAAGCCTTCTTCAGGGAGACATCCACGTCTGGCGAGCAGATGAGCTCCCTGATGTCGGCGCGCTCGCCGTGCAGCGCCATGGCTTTGAGCAAGTGCTCGGTCTGCACAGAGGCGATGACAGAGCAATGCCTGCTGAAGCCGCCGCGCTTGACATAAGCCTTGGATGACCGCATCAGGCCAAGTCTGCGGTTGATGTCGTACATCGCAGGCAGGAGTTGCTCCTTCGCGTCCCAAACATTTTCTTATTGGACAGCACCTAGCCCAGTTGCGCACCAATGCAAGACAAAATCACAGCAAACAACGCACACCCAAAACTACACAATCAAGTCTGCCGGAACACCGAATGGCTCCAGCGAGCGAAAGGTGTATCCAGCTGCCCGTGCGGGCTGTAGACTAGCTCCTCGCGCAGTAGCAAGTAACGGAAGACTTCGGCCGCTTCCATGGGAGTCTCCCTCTTAAGGAAAGGCACGCCGTTGCCCCAAGGAAACAAATCCGGGAAGGCCATGGCCCATGTGGCTGCCTGGAACATGCTCATGGGCGTGTCCTGCGATGGCACCACAAGCTTCTGTGGCCTTGTCTCAAACATCTCGGCCTCAGCCATGCGCTCGCGCTCCACGCCGCCTGCGGCAAGGCTCTGCACACGCTTCACTCTTCGCAGGACTTCACGTTCATGAGCGCCTTCGCGACCCAGAAGCCCCAAGTCGCCACCCATTGCCGAGGGCTCAGCCAAAATCTCGTTGGCAGCTCGATTGCGCAGAACATGCTGCGTGTCGGTGTCGTGCTGCTGTGGCTTCCAGCGGCACAGGCCCTCCACATCTCGGCACATCCGCAGCCACTTGTTGCCCTCGTCAGAGTCATCGTTCAAGCCCACGATGCAAGAAACCAAATGACCTAGCCGCCGACCAGCGATCTGAGCAAAAACACAAGAAACATGACGGCCCCACAAGAATCCAAACCGGTCATACACAGACGCATACCACATACTCAGACAGCAGCGAGAACGAAAAAAGGCTTGCCGAGATGCCAGAGTCTTCCTGCACCATGGCAGCTGGCGCCGCGCTCGCAGAAGAGGACCGCACGACAGCGTTGTCTCCCGCGAGAGCACTGCCGGTCTCGTCCTCAGACGGTCCAGCTTGCGATGCGCTCGCAGAGGACGACCGCACGACAACGTTATCCCCTGCAAGGACATCGCTCGGCCGGACTTCCGGCGGCAGCTCATCGGACACCGGATCATCATCTTCTTGGCCCTGAGCATCAGCAGGCCCCTTCTGCAGAAGCTCTCGAGCGAGGTAACTGTCAGCAGCCGTTTCCAAGACGCAGCCCTCGAACACGTGGCTCTCTTCCCCGTCAGGTAGACTCACATCGACGGTAGCCTGCGCGTAGTACTTTGAAGTTTGGCGAAGCTTCTCCACAGCAGCCGCATACTCTTCCCTCGGAGCTCGCATCATACCGGATTTCCTCAACTCTTTCTTCTGCCGCCCCACGAGCACGAACAAAATGCTTTCGGCCATGTCTTCTTCCTTTGGAGGCAAGGTCGCCTGGATCGCCGTTGGGCTAGCTTGTGGCAAGAAGATGGTGTTGCCAATGAAGCCCTTCTGCCGTTCCGCCGGAGCTTGCCCCAATGGCTGCAGCACTGTAACCTGCATGCAGACACGCACCAACGGCAGCAGCCGACGAGTGCCTGGCGACAAGTTCTGCAATTCTGGCAGCTGGCGACCCATCCACAGGTCGTTGGCCAAGGCATACCGAGGCAAAGAAAGCACCAACGTGCGCAAGCTTGCGCGGCAGTCTTTGCAGACATGATAAGGGTCCGTGCTCTGCGCAGGCATGCGCCGCCGATGTAGCAGCAAATGGTTCCCGGGCAAGCAGGGATGCTCCACGGTGGACGCCATCAGCTCGTTCTTGCCCTCCTCCGTGCTGGCAATGTGCGGCCAACGATCCATGTACCTCTTGACCCCGAGCAAACGACATAGCCTCACTTGCTGACTTGGCATGATAGTCTCCGCTCCAGGCGGAAGGGTCAAGTCGTCAGGCCCTGCATCCGGTGACTGAAGCAGAACCATGCTGCAAAGCTCGTTCTCCCAGAAGCGCCGTGCGCAGACGACGCATGCAGATTCGCGCCGGCCTTTGGCCATGCCAGGCGGGCATCGCAGCCGCTCGTCGAAACTGGCGGCAATGGCCCTCTGACGGTTCATGCCGGGCACCTGCAGCCCAATCATTTTAGCACGAAACGACTCAAAAACACAAGTTCGTGGATCGACTCTCCTTCAGAGCTTACAAAACGGAAAGACCCTCTTTTGCAAGCTCTTGCCTGTGGACCACCTCATGAAGGCACGGAGCACGATCTTGTCTCCATCGTCGAAGCTACGGCTGGAGTATTTGTGCTGCACCGCCGAGAGCACTGCCTGCACATCAAACATTATAAACGTTTGCGGAACAGCCAAACCGCAAAAAAAATGCCGCCTCCAACGCTTCCTTGCGATCCTTGAAGCCATCTGTCTCTTCCGATGCCGCCTCCTGCTCCAGAGTGGCCAAAGCCCATAGCCGCTCAGCAACATCGATGGGGTCAGCACAGTCGGAAGCGCCAGCCAAACGCCACCAGCCTGGCGCCGCAGAACAGACAACACCCCCGCCCCAGAACGAATCGAAGCCACTTTTGGTCAAGCCCTCCCACCCGCCTCTGCGCTCATTCCAGCGAGCACTCGACACAACCGCAAGCAGAGCATGCTGCGCGGGCCAAGACAAACGCGGCATTGTGGTCTCCTGCAAGCGTGTCACAGCGGCTGTCCACGATGGCGGGATAGACTGCGGCAGCCATTGCTCCATGTCTGGGACACACGCCGCTGCTTCAGACAGTTTGGCGTCCAACAACTGCAGCTCGTCCCGTGCTGACAAATGTTTGCCAGCCACCGCTTCCACTGTGATGCCCAAGAAGACTGCGAGCAACCCATGGCGAAACTCAGCACATTGATCCTCCCCCAGAGTAACTTCGATCCGCGCTTCCAAAGTCTCCTGCTCCGAGCCCCGATGTCTCTCCAGACACCGCCAGAATTTACGCTTGCAGTGGCGACGTCAGAGGGCACAGGGTCAATACCAATCGCTGGATGATGGCGTGGCGCGTCAGCCCCGTGACATCGACGCCAAGATCTGTGGCCAAGCCCGTCAGCGATGGGCTGGCATCTCGAAGCTTCAGCGGGCGAAGCAGCGCCCGCAGCGCAGCAGGCCCCTGGTCTCCTTTGGCCGCGACCACTTCTCGCAAGCGCGCAATTGTGACCGCAGGAGTTGAAGAACTGCTCGGCTCCTGCCACCGCAGCTATTGAAAACAGCAACCTTGAGAACCCTGCAACACACATGCGCACTCAAAACCAAAAAAACACGAGACTGCGCAGCTTTGGAGCCCACACAGCTGCTCCACGACAGCGGCAGCTAGGTCTGCCTTGGTCACGTTACTGCCTGCGACCCATTGGCGCACATCCAGCTGTCGGGCGAGTGCGCGACGTTGGGGTCGGGCTTTGGCCGCCACCTCTTGCTGCAGCCATACCTTGCCCTTCTCCGACAAACCAGCACGAAGCGTGGAGCCCACACAGCTGCTCCACGACAGCGGCAGCTAGGTCTGCCTTGGTCACGTTACTGCCTGCGACCCATTGGCGCACATCCAGCTGTCGGGCGAGTGCGCGACGTTGGGGTCGGGCTTTGGCCGCCACCTCTTGCTGCAGCCATACCTTGCCCTTCTCCGACAAACCAGCACGAAGCGTCGCCACGACAAGCTCTGCCTCGTCCTGCGCTGTCCATGAGATGAGGCAACCCGTCCGTAAGAAACACGACATGGTGCCATCTGGTGCTTACATTTCGGCCATCCGCAAAACATCATCCAAAACAATAGCGTCAAACACCGACTACGACCAAGTCGAGACACCGGCGTCAGCGAAGCCGCAGAACTGCTTGGCTCCTGGCAACAATCAGCACAGCAAAACACACACCAGCAAAACTTTCCAGATTTCGATCCTGGCCTGTGGGCACAGCTGCTCCACGACAGCGGCAGCTAGGTCTGCAGCGGTCACGTTGCTGCCTGCGACCCATTGGCGCACATCCAGCTGTCGGGCGAGTGCGCGAAGTTGGGGTCGGGCTTTGGCCGCCACCTCTTGCTGCAGCCACGCCTTGCCCTTCTCCGACAAACCAGCACGAAGCGTCGCCACGACAAGCTCTGCCTCGTCCTGCGCTGTCCATGAGATGAGGCAACCCGTCCGTAAGAAACACGACATGGTGCCATCTGGCGCTTACATTTCGGCCATCCGCAAAACATCATCAAAAACAATAGCGTCAAACACCGACTACGACCAAGTCGAGACACCGGCGTCAGCGAAGCCGCAGAACTGCTTGGCTCCTGGCAACAATCAGCACAGCAAAACAAACACCAGCAAAACTCTCCAGATTTCGATCCTGGCCTGTGGGCACAGCTGCTCCACGACAGCGGCAGCTAGGTCTGCCTTGGTCACGTTGCTGCCTGCGACCCGTTGGCGCACATCCAGCTGTCGGGCGAGTGCGCGAAGTTGGGGTTGCCGCCACCTCTTGCTGCAGCCACGCTTTGCCATGCTGGGCCGCGCCAGCCTGAAGCCTAGCTACTTTGAGCTCCATGACTTCTGTTTGAGCCAAATCTCGATGATCATCCGCAAGATGCCACATAACAACCAGCCGTGTGCGCCATGCCCGTAAATAAGCCGTGTGCGCCATGCTCCCCGCAACTTCTTTCATGATGAGAACTCCTTGCGTCAAACTCCTACAGGGTGAGTGGCCTGAAAGCATAACTCCCCACGATGTGCGGCAAACTTGTTTAACCCCGGCCTGGCACATGCGCAAGTTGCTCTGCGCAAGTTGCTATGCGCAAGTTGCTCTGTGCGAGTTGCAGTGTGTGCAAGTTGGCGCGAGACAGCACCAGGCAAGGTGCTCTGCGCAAACTGGTCGGTGCAAGTTGGTCTGCGCAAGTTGCTCTACGCAAGTTGCACTGTGCAAGTTGCTCTGCGCAAGTTGCTCCGCGCAAGTTGCTCCGGCAGCAAGTGGCTCCCTGCAAGTTGCTCTGTGCAAATTGCGCTCCCTGCAAGTTGCTCTGTGCAAGCTGCTCTGTGCAAGTTGCTCTGTGCAAGTTGCTCTGCGTATGTTGCTCTGCGCAAGTTGCTCTAGGCAAGGCGCTCTGCGCAAACTGGTCGGTGCAAGTTGGTCTGCGCAAGTTGCTTTAAAATGCAAGTTGCATCTTGCGACGCCCGCCCGCGGACCAGGGAGGAATCGAACCCGCGACCCGCCGGCCCGGGAGCAGGCGCGCGAACCACGAGACAACTCCTGAGGACCAGTTCGAACTGTGAATCAGGCAGCTGCCCATGGCACACTTTTCCGTGTGCCTCGATCCAACAGCGGCTTCCATGCCACCGATTTGTGCGTGTCATCCTTGCTCAGGGGGCCACTGATGGGGTACTCCTTTTTTCAACATGAAAACCTGCACTCCTCCCCTTTGTGTTCAGAGAGGGCGCAAATGACAAAACGTTCCTAGCTCTCACATCCTCCGTTCTCGCCATAGAGGACGTCCAGCCCAAGCCGCATCACATCAGTCCTCGGGGCCATCTGCCCTCATCTTGCATTCTCTCAAAGTTCTCGTCGGTCACGCCACCTTGGCAAAACCTGCAAGGCTGCATAGGGTTCAGCGGCTCCCTTCCAAAATGCCCACACATCGAGCATTGCCATGCAGAAAGCCGTCTTCCCCACGATACGATCTTGCGCCCCGTGCTCGCTGTCGTTCTCCCGGCCAACAGTGAGGACACGGCAGCACCGCCCGCATTCCCCGGACAGTAGCGTTCCGGAGCCCATAGCAGTTGCGTCGCCAGTGAATCCGGTCACCCATCGAGGTGATGTGGTAAACCTCAACTGCTTCCGGTTCCGGCCGCAGCTCACGCCACCGGAGTTGTTCCATGACCCGGAGCTCCTCCCGCCACCTGGCATTCAATCTCTCATCTTCTGTCTCCTGCTCAACCGACCTTGTGGGAGCTCGCTCGTCTGCAGGTTGCCCCTCAGCTTGACCCGCACTCCCACCGTTCCGCCTCCTCATTGTACTTGACCTTGAGGCAGTCCCGCTGGTAGAGCTGGAAGACCGTGCCACCGAAGCGCTCTGCGATCTCGGCACCTCAATGACTTCTTCTTCTTCTTCCGTTTGAGTGCTCCTTTCTACACTGCTCACTCTCAACCGCCTGATCCCCTGGCGGAGCCCCGACACAGCCTCGGCAGCCAAGCGGTAAATCACCACCACAACCACAGCTATCAGCAACACCACCACGGAGATGTCCACACCGTCCTCCTCCGGCCGTTGATTATTGCCCTGTGCTCTGCAACCAGTGATCACGATCAAGATCACCAGCAACTGGATCCACCTCTCCTTTTCCGGCTGAACCACCGCCTTGCTCACGCAGAGCTCCTTGATCCTCATCGGACCCAATGGCTTAGTGCCAAGGTCTGCCAGCATTTGCTGTCCTGGGCAGCGTCGAAGTTCCCAATCTCCGGCCCTGATCCTCCACCGCAGGTGGAACGACCTCAGTCGAAGGTGCCGTGTTCGCCACGAGCCCGTGACATCCGTGGCAATCGCCACCGCTGCCGCATTATCCGACAGCAACATCTTCTTGAAATTGTCCATACCCAGGGTGTCTGTGATCAACGCCTCCACGCTGTCCCCAAGGATCACGCTCCGCTGTCGACAGTGCTGGAAACGCCTGCTTTCCTGCCTTCCACGCAATGACCGTGCCATTCCACGCTACCAAGGAACATCCTTGGCTCCTTTCTCCCACAGGCGCAAACGAAGCATCTGCGTAGGCCTGCAATCCGGCGGCACCATGACCAGACCAATGTCGTCCGGTGTCTCCAGACACCCATAGCCCCCATGCCTTCGTTTCCTTCAGGTAGCCCAGAACAGAGCCCGCAGCCTTGATTGTCCATTTCGGATTCTTGGACGTCATGCTGCACATGCGGCTCATGCTGTAGAGCAGGTCCGGCCGAGTCCTTGTCATCAACCACAGAATCTCCCCCGTTACCTTCTGAGCTCTTGTGAGGTCCATGGCCGTGAAATGGCCCGGGTCCTCATCCGCCTCGTCCGCAATTTTCTTGGACATCGGCGTCTTGGATCTCACCAGCTCGCCCTCATGCCTTTTCAGCAACTCCTCCACGTAGTCGCTCTGGTGCAGGAAGATCCCATTCAGGCTTATTCCTAGAAAACGGATCTGGTGTTCCTCCGTCAGGACGTCTGGCTTGCTCGTTTCCCACCTCTCCGAGATCACTTTTCTCGCACCGGCTTCTCCGTCGCCGTGAGGACGTCGTCAACGTATATGGAGACCAAACCTTGCTCCAGCTTGTAGTAGACGCCGTTCACCTCCCAAGTTAGCTTTGCAAGCTCAGCATCCCGGTGATCCGACCACCTCCAGTCCGTACATGGCCTTGTCGACCAGCCACAGCTCGCCCGGCTCCGCATAGCCCAATCTGACCATGATGGTCGGAGGCCTCATCGCCACCAGATTTTCCGGCTCCTTCTCCTCGTGCAAATCCGCATTAAAGGAACGCGGACTTGATGTCCAACGCAGACATAGTCCACTTCTTTTCCATGGCAACCTTGACCTGCAGGCGGATCGCCGTGATGTCTGTCCCACCCGCAAAGGTGTCACCTTCCGCCTCCGTGTCCCGTGCCACGTGGTTCCCGCAGACCACCAATCTGATCTTCCGCCTAGAACTCCCGGCCTTCACACTGAAGATCGCCTTGATCTTCTCGGCTTCCCTGGGCGGCACTCTCCGTGGCGCCTGCTTCTCCGTCATCAGCGAGTCCAGCTCGGTCTTAATCAAGGCCGCCCAACCTTCCGTGTCGGAGATCACCTCATTCGGAGACACCATCTTCGTGTGCAAGATCTTCTCCGCCTCCGTCTGATCCGGAACCATCTGCTTCAGGCTCTCCTCCTCTTCTCGCAGTTTCCGCACCATCCGGAAGGTCATCTCGGCCGTCTTCCAACATCCTCTCTTCTTCTTCCACAATGATATGGCGAAGCAGCCGAATCCTCTCCGCGACCTTATCACCACCACCATCGTCCATCCGAGCTGGGGCACTCGTCTTCATCCCCATTCTCCTTCTCACACGAAGAGCCTCATCAA